AGCTGATTAAACTCTTTCCCCTTTCGGATCTTTCCCTTCTGAAGGTTGGGGCGTCCCCTGTAGTCTTAGATATGGATGCTTTTCATCCCTCCGCCAACATAGCTGTGAAAGGTTGGAGGGAAGGGAGTGAGGAAAGTCAGGTAGAGCTCCGTTGTGGATGCTTCTCTCCCCCCCCCAAAAAAAAGCTGTGAAAGATGGGTGGGGGGAGGGAGCGGGAAAAGTCAGGCAGAATTCCGTCTGGTTCAGCTCAGCGTTGCTTTTGCCTTGCAATTCCCAGGCGGGTCTCTATTTGCAGACACCTCGCGGCGTTTCCAAAGCCTTTTCTCGCTGGCCTCCCTGTAAGGAAGCATTCAACCCCGGAGACAGCCTGCGACTGCTTCACCTCTATCCCCGACCCCCACCCCACCCCATGGCTCCCTTTCCCACCCTTGGTAGGGATCATGGCTGGTTGATGGAGAGACTGTCCTGCAGGAAGGAAGACAACCCGCCCCAAGTGTCTTGCAATGTTTTTTCCTATATGAACTATCCGTTTTGGGTGGAGGTGCTGGAGAAAAAGCCACAGCATTTTGGGGTTCCCATACTGGACCCGAGCTGAATGTTGAGCATTGGAGGTATCTCCAGCTTGAAAAATATAGGAATATTTTGTGTTGTTTGCAAAGTTACTGGCAAGAAAGGTCATCAAACAGGCCAAAAGTCACTTAACAACTGCCTTAATTGGCAACATAAATGTTGGCCTCAAATATTGGTCCTATATCGAGTCCTATATGTACTTCCTTTTTGAAAAGAAATTGTGTGTGTTGGGTGTGTATGTATTTAAGAGCACTGTCTTCTCTGTCTTCCCTTAAATGTTTTTTGGGCAAGAATATCCTATCAACATCTACAAAAGCAGCTCTCTTTTTTCTCATTTTTCTTTCCTTCTGTTCCTTTCTCTTAGCTTGAAAACTGAAAGCATTTTCCCCCTCTCTGGGAGGATTCTTATTATTTGAGCATCAAAGTTCCACATCTCCTGAAATGGCTCATTTTGGTGGCTCTTCTTACCATTCTGCTCCTCTGACCAAAAGTCCTTTTGCAAATCCAGGACAGACTTTGGATGGGTGTGACCCAGCTTCTTTGTACACCCCAAAATCCGGCTCACGAGACCCAGAAGGAAATGGATCCCGTGTTGCCTTGCTTAGGTCTACTGAGAAGTTCTGGAGAAGAACGAAGGAGGACAATGTCCTGGAAGGAGATACCACCAGATGGGCTGGAGAACATCAACTTTGCCGGGCGTTCTTCTATGAAGAAACCGAGGAACCTCGAGAACTTTGCACTCGTTTACACCGTCTTTCTCGTCAATGGCTGAAGCCAGAGAAACACACGAAAGCTCAGATGTTGGACTTGGTGGTCCTGGAGCAGTTCCTGGCCGTCCTGCCCCCAAAGATGGAGAGCTGGGTACGAGAGTGTGGAGCAGAGACGAGCTCCCAGGCGGTGGCCCTGGCAGAAGGTTTCCTCCTGAGCCAGGCGGAGGAGAAAAAGCAGGGAGAGATGCAGGTGAGACAAAAATTATTGTGCAGCGAATTCTGGACTTAACAACAGTTCACTTAGTGACCATCCATAGTTACAACAGCATTGAAAAAAGTGACGTATGACCATTTTTCATTCTTGGTTGCAGCATCCCCATGGTCACCTGATCAAAATTCTGACACTGCGGCAACTGGTTTGTATTTATGACAGTTGCAGAGCCCCTGGGACACGCTATCCCCTTTTGTGAACACCTGAATAAAAAAAGTGCACCGCAGAGTCAAATTCACTTAACAAATGTATAACTAAGTTAACCTCTGCAGTGATTCACTTAGCAACCGTGGCAAGGAAGGTCATAAAATGGGGCAAACTCACTTGACAAATCTCACTTAGCAACATAAAATTTGGGCTCTGTTATAGTTGTAAGTCAAGGACTACCTGTACTTGTCAAAAAGGTGAAAATGTGAGAAGCTGCTGAATTTTTAAATACAATAACCTCTGGGCCCCAATAAACCTTTCCTTATAATTACGAAAAATTCTTCATCACTGAGATTATTGTAAGTGACCCTTTCCAGGGTAGAGTCCTTGACTTACAACCTTTTGTTTAGTGAACGTTCATAGCTCTCTAACAGCATGGGAAAAAGTGATTTATTGCAGCATCCCCAGGTCACATGATAAAAATTCATATGCTGGAGAACTGACTCACATTTATGACGGTTGCAGTGTCCTGGGATCACGTGAAGAGCCATAGTGGCACAGTGGTTAGAATGCAATACTGCAGGCTACTTCTGCTGACTGCCGGCTGACTGCAATTTGGCAGTTCGAATCTCACGAGGCTGAAGGTTGACTCAGCCTTCCACCCTTCCCAGGTCTGTAAAATGAGGATCCAGATTGTTGGGGGCAATATGCTGATTCCGTAAGATCGCTTAGAGAGGGCTGTAAAGCACTTTGAAGTGCTATATACCGTATTTTTTGGAGAATAAGACACACCTTTTTCCCCCAAAAAAGAGGCTGAAAATCTGGGTGAGTCACTGAATACAGCATTTTTTTTGCCTCCTGAAACCCCGCCCCTTCACCAAAATGGCCGTGCAGAGCCTTTGCTCAATTTTACACCCACCCCAGCCCCCAGGAGCACTTTATAAGCTCCCAGGAGCACTTTATAAGCTTCCTAAAGGCTATCCATGCCCTTTTTAAAAAAATGAAAAACAGACCGTTTTTTCCTCATTTTTGGCCCCCCACCCTCCCCAGGAGCATTCTGCAATGCTATTCATGCCTTTTGCAGGGGGGGGACGGGCCCATTTTTGGAGGTTTGCAGAGTGCAAAACCTTTTTTAAAAAATGTTCCTCTTCAAAACCTTGCTGTGTCTTATACTCTGATGCATCTTATACTCTGAAAAATATGATATGTCTACTTGCTATTGCTATCATTTTTTGCAACTTTCTGACAAAGTCAATGGGGAAACCAGATTCACTTAACAACTCTGGCAAGAAAAATGGTAAAATGGAGCAAAACTCACTTAGTGGCCATCTCAATTAGCAATGGAAATTTTGGCATCAATTGTCATAAGTTGAGGACTATCACTTAATACCATTTTATAACACCGTGGTAAGACCACACTTGGAATACTGCATCCAGTTTTGGTTGCCACAATGTAAAAAAGATGTTGAGACTCTAGAAAGAGTGCAGAGAAGAGAAACAGATGATTAGGGACTGGAGGCTAAAATATGAAGAATTGTTACAGGAACTGGCATGGCTAGTCTAGTGAAGAGAAGAACCAGGGGTGATATGATAGCAGTCTTTAATACCTCAGGATTTGCCACAAAGAAGAGAGAATCAAGTTATTCTCCAAAGCACCTGAAGAAGCAAGGATAAGAAGCAATGGATAGAAACTAATAAAGGAGAGAAGCAACTTGGAATTAAGGAGCAACTCCCTAAGAGTGAGGGCAATTAACCAGTGGAACAACTTGCCTCCAGAAGTTGTGAGTGCTCCAACACTGGAAGTTTTTAAGGAGAGATTATGCAACCATTTGTCTGAAATGGTGTAGAGTTTCCTGCCTGTGCAGGGAGTTGGACTAAAAGACCACCAAGGTCCCTTCCAATTCTATTCTATTCTACCTGTATGTGAGAAGCCCTCTCTTTTCAGAGGAAACTCGGTTGCAGTGGACTATAAAATCTTCTTCCCTCTTTTTCTTTTGACAGGTTCAGGATCCCTTCATAGAAGTGGGTGTTCAAAACCTCCAAGCACATAGAGACATGTCATCTCTCTCTCAAGAACTGGCCTTCGGAGGGATCTCCCAAGAGGATCCAGCTCAGGTCACATCCGAAAGTAAAAAAGCAGTTCTGTCTTTGTTATATTTTTATATTGGTGTACTCCATAAGGAAACATAACAGGGTGCAGTTGAAAAGAAACATATTACAGAACGTTATACATTCATTGAACACATTGGTTCAGCTCGGAAGCTTACTCCAGTGTTTCTCCAAGGTCCCAATAAGCACATATTTAATCAACAAAGGCCCCTTTGCACTACTAGCATTCCCAGACAGATATGCCGCTTTTAAGACATGTAACATCATCCCTCCCAATGAGGTATTGAGATCTGATCCAGCCAATCAACTCCTACCAAACTCCCAAATAGTAATAGCACTTAGACTTATATACCACTTCATAGTGCTTTACAGTCCTCTCTAAGCGGTTTACAGAATTGGCCTAGTGCTCCCAACAATCTGGGTCCTCCTTTTACCGCCCCTTGAAAGATGGAAGGCTGATTTAACCTTGAGCCAATGGCTATGGGCAGAGTTAGCCTGCAATAAATTTTAACCCCCTGCCACCAAATGAATGAGATAAGGCAAGAGTATACTTCCCGTCTAATGGAAATGGTACTGTTCAGCGCCTGCCCACTTCCTTGAAATCCTGAAAAGAAATTAAACCAAATACAATCTTAAAATCTCTCTCTATTTCAGTAGATTCTTAAGTCCAGACTTAAGGAACTTCATAGTTCACTGGGCCTTTCAGTGATTGACAGAAGCCCTTGTCTCTCATGACAAGAGAGCCATCTCAAAGCCTAACCCTTTAGGCCTCTTTATTTCACTCCTTGCTACTACCCAATTAATTGGAGAGGCTTTATTGTGATGTTGGCGCAGTGGTTAGAATGCATACAGGCTAACTCTGCTGACTGCCAGCAGTTCAATCCTGACCAGCTCAAGGTTGACTCAGCTGTCCACCCTTCCAAGGTTGGTCAAATGAGGAACCAATGGAGGCAAAGTGCTGACTCTCTAAACCACTTAGAGAGGGCTATAAAAGCACTATGAAGCAGTATATAAATCCAAGTGTTATTGGTAGTGCTATTGCTAACACAACAATTGAAGCCAAAATTTCTAAGCAAGACAGTTGTTAAGCGAGTTTTGCCCCATTTTATGACTTTCCTTGCCCCAGTTGTTAAGTGTCTATGGAGATTCTCGGTCATCCAGGTCATGGTTATCCCAAAGTTGCAACGGCCTCTTGAAAAAGCAACTTTGGGACAGTTGTGAAGTAAATTACCGCAGTTCTTAAATTAGCAACATGGTTGTGAAGTGAATCTGGCTTCCCATTGACTTTGCTTGTCGGAAATTCACAGGTGATCACATGACCTCAGGACACTGCGAATGCTATAAATATATGCCAATTGCCACGAATACAAATTTTGGTCACATGATCACAGGGATACTGCAATGGTCATAAGTGTGAAAAATGGTCATCAGTCACTTTGTTTACCTGCCAATGTAACTTCAAACAGTACGGGTTAAACGGTATAGGTTTGCCTTGCTCTCATTCCTCCTGGATCCTATGGGGGTGCAGATTACACCCACATCATTACTTTTTACTATCAATCTGGTGTTCTCTATCAGTCCACTTCTCAATATGGAACTTGGAATTAATATACCATGTACAGATCTACTTTGCTTCCCATAATGCTCAGTGTCATAAAAACTGTTGGGGAAGATTATTGGGGCAATATGCTGACTATAACAAGCTTAGAGAGGGCTGTAAAGCACTATGAAGCGATATATAAGTCTACGTACTATGGCTTACTTGCAGTCTCGTGTGTGAAAGAATGCTCCTTTTATTTTATTTTTTGTATGATTTTGCTCGAGAATGTAGTAGGAATTTTTTCAAAATGTCTTCCTTCATTTCTGTCATTTCAGTGAATGGAGCAACCCTGAGGTTTCCTGCAGAAATGTCTTTGCTTTGTGGTGGAACTGAAACTGCTGTTGTCATTCCAGTTCAGGTAGGAGCTTGTGTAAAGTGTTAGTACCACTTTATTATGCCTTGGTAAGACCTACACTTGGAATATTGCATTGAGTTTTGGTCACCGCACTATAAAAAAGCTGTTGAGACTCTAGAAAAAGTGCAGAGAAGAGCAACCAGGATTATTAGGGGACTGGAGGCTAAAACATGAAAAACGGTTGCAGGAACTGGGCATGACTAGTTTAATGAAAAGAAGGAGTAGGGGAGACATGATAGCGGGGTTCCAATATCTCAAGCTATTCTCCAAAGCACCTGAAGGCAGAACAAGAAGCTGGATGGAAACTAATCAAGGAGAGAAGCAACTTAGAACTAAGAAATTTTCTGACAGTTACAACAATTGATGAAACAACTTGCCTCCAGAAGTTATTAATGTTCCAACACTGGAAGTTGTTAAGGAGAGATTGTACAGTCATTTGTCTGAAATGCTGTAGGTCAGTGGTTCCCAACCTTTTTTTGGCCATGCCCCACCTAAGCATTTTTAAAATCCCGATGCCCCTTCTGTAACATATAATTCTTGCTTTACTCAGAAAGTGAACTCTGCTCATATAAAGGAAGCCTAAAAGGCCATTAACCTGGTTTAAACAAAGTTCAAATTGCCCCCCTTCTCCATTAAAAATCAAATTGCCCACCTGTGTGGCATGGACCCCACGTTGGGAACTACTGGTGTAGGGTTTCCTGCTTAGAAGACCACCAAGATCCTTACCATTTCTGTTATTCTGTTCTGTTCTATTCTACCTGTATGTGAGAATCTCTTTTCAGAGTGAACTTGGTTGCAGTGGATCATAAAATCGTCTTCCCTTTTTTTCTTTTGACAGGTTCAGGATCCCTTCATGGAAGTGGATGCTCAAGACCCCCGAGAACACAAAGACATGTCATCTCTCACTCAAGAACTGGCCTTTGGGGGGATCTCCCAAGAAGATCCAGCTCAGATCACGTCAGAAGGTAAATAAATGGTTCTTCATTTACTATATTTTTACATTGGTGGGCTCCATAAGGAATCGTAGCAAGATGCAGTTGAAAAGAAACATATTACAGAATGTTATTCATTCATCGAACACGTTGGTTCAGCTTGGAAGCTTAGTTCAGTGTTTTTCCGGGGACCCGATAAGCAAATATTTAATCAACAAAGGCGCCTTTGAACTACTAGCATTCCCAGACAGAGATGCTGCTTTCAAGGCATGTAACATCATCTCTCCCAATGAGGCATTGAGCACCCTGATCCAGCCAATCCACTCCTACCAAACTCCCAAATAGCACTAGCAATACCACTTAGACTTATATACCACTTCATAGTGCTTTACAGCCCTCTCTAAGCGGTTGTTCTGACCCAGCCTTTGCAGAAGAAACAGACCCCTAGCAAAGAATAACCGCTCTTTATTTATCTCTTGTGAATTAATTGCATTCACCAACCGAAAGTCCAGGCAACAGGCCTGCAAGGAGTTAACTGCAGCAACAGATGTTATCAGTTCATTATGATCATTCCAAGCGGTGAGGCTGCAAATTAAGTTCTGGCAAGACAGTCTTTGTTGCATGAAACAAAATTAGGAAAATCTCTAGAAATGTAGTCTTCTACGACCACCACTCCCCTTTCCTTCTATTTATTCCCCAGCTAGGGAGGGGCCATTCAACATCCAAGTTTGATTTGCTTCCCAAGTAGACACCTTGTCCTTGACCTCTGTCCTCTCATATCTGCTCTGTGCATACGTGCATCTGGAACAGGGCCCAGCTGTTCTTCCTCCTCATTCATCTCTGCCTCCAAAGGCAGCAGCCACTCCGGTGGTTGGGAAATGCCAGATGGCCCTGGCTCTATCTCTGTGTCTGATGCTGAGCTCATCAGAGTCTTCCCTAGGCTCCAGAACTGGCCCAAGTTCTTCCCCAATCTCCTCATCATCCAAGTCTGCCACCAGTCCCCTCTAATGGAAATCATACTGTTCAGTACCTGCCCACTTCCTTGAAATCCCAGGGAAAAATGAATCCAAGATCTTAAAATCTCTATTTCAGTAGTTTCTGCTCATTCAGAGCCCAGACATAAGGAACTTCAATTCTTCATACCTTCATTGGGCCTTTCAAGGATTGACAGGAGTCGTTGCCTATCATGACCAGTATAGTTACCTTCAAGCTTAACTCTTTAGCCTCTTTATTTCACTCCTCGCCACCTACTCAGTTAATCAGAGAGGTTGGACTTCTGGCCACAGTTTCTCATCCCTAGATCAGTGTAGGCAGCCTTATTGTGATGACGGCACAGTGGTTAGAATGCAGTATTCATGCTAATGCTGCCGGCTGCCAGCAGTTCGGTCCTGACAGACTCAGGGTTGACCCAACCCTTCCATCCTTCCCAGATTGGAAAATTAGAACCTGGAGTGTTGGGGGCAGTATGCTGATTCTGTAAACTGCTTAATGAAGGCTGTAAAATACTGTGAAGTGGTATTGCCATTGATATTGCTTACTTGCAGTCCCACTTGTCTGAAAGAATGCCTCTTTTTTTTTTGCATAACTTTCTCGAGAATGCAGTAGGAATATTTTCAAAATGTCTTTCTCCATTTCTGTCTTATCAGGAAAAGGAGCAATCCTGAGGTTTCCTGCAGAAGCATCTTTGTTTTGTGGTGATTCTGAAACTGCTGCTGTCATTCCAACTCAGGTAGGAGGGATCAAGCTTGCGTAAAGTGTTAGTACCACTTTATAATTTCTTGGTAAGGCCTCCACTTGGAATATTGCATACAGTTTTGATCACTGCAATTTAAAAAAGATATTGAGACCCTTGAAAAATTCAAAGAAGAGCAATGAAGATGTTTAGGGGACTGGAGGCTAAAACATATAAAGAACAATTACAGGAACTGGGTATGTCTAGTTTAATGAATTACATTACAATATCTAAGGGGCTGCCACAAAGAAGAGGGAGCCAAGCTATATGTTGAGATTTTGGAAAGAATGTATTGAAGATCAATGAAAATGATTAGAGGACTGGAGGCTAAAATACATGAAAATGGTTGCAGGAATTGGGTATGTCTAGTTTAATGAAAAGACATGACAGCAGTCTTCCAATATCTAATGGGCTGCCACAAAGAAGAGGGAGTCAAGCTATTCTCCAGAGCACCTGAAGGCAAGACAAGAAGCAATGGATAGGAACTAATCAAGGAGAGAAGCAACCTAGAACAAAGAAATTTCCTGACAATGAAAACAATTAACCAATGGAACAGCTTTTTTTTAGAAGTTGTGTATGTTCCATTGCTGGAGTTTTTAAAGAAGAAACAGGACAACCATTTCTCTGAAAAGTAAAGGGTCTCCTGCTTGAGTGGGGGGAGGGGGAGTTGGACTAGAAGATCTCCAAGGTCCTTTCCAACTCTGCTATTTTGAGGACGATTCTTTTCTCCTTCAGTGTCTAAATGTGGTTTTGATAAGGGACATTCCAAAGCAAGCTGAATTTCTCTTCCAAAGCTAATTCACTTAATTTGCTCCTTTCTAGCGAGTGGGAACAGCTTCCTGGTATCATTTGAACATTGCTGGCAACTCATTGCTTCTAGAAGGCCTTTTCTAGCAGCTTCAAATAACTATTGAACTGTGTGTATCTCTCAGGGACAACATAAGACACCAGTTAACGTATCAACTAGGATTGTCCAAACACTGTGCTGAGGAAGTCACCTTCCAGGCAGCACTTGATCAATAGTGAATCCAAGATCACTTCATTAAGAGATAAGATAGAAAACTTTGCAGGTGATCTTTGATTTAGAGCCATCTGTTTAATAGAATAGGAATAGAAATTAGAACAGAATAGAATAACAAAGTTGGAAGGGACCTTGAAGTTCTTCTAGTCCAGCCCCCTGCTTCGACAGGAAACCCTATGCCATTTCTAACAAATGGTTATCTAATATCTTCTTAAAAACTTACGGTATTGGAGCATTCACAACTTCTGGAGGTAGGTTGTTCCACTGATTAATTGTTCTAACTGTCAGGAAATGACAGTAACTGCTCAAAGTTACAATAGTAGAGAAAAAAGTGACTTAGGACCACTTTTCACACTTATGACCGTCACAGCATCTCCATGGTCACATGATGAAAATTTGGACACTTGGCAACTGGTTCATGTTGATGATGGTTGCAATATCCTTTTGCCACCTTCGGACCAGCAAAGCCAAGGAGGTAGTTAGGTTCATTTAACAATTATTATTAACTTAACAACTGTGGCAAACAAGCTTGTAAAATAGGGGCAAAACCAACTTAACTGTCTTATTTAACAACAGAAATTTTGAGCTTAATTGTGGTCATAAGTTGAGGATTACCTGAACTATGTGAAAATTGCCCATAGTCACTATGAAATTTGGGATGGGTGGTATCTAAGCTTGATAAATTTATCAAGCTTAGATGCCACTCATCTTACTCTCAGAGTGACCTTGGGCAATTTTCAGTTCGTACAAGTAATCCTGAACTTACAACCTCAGGTAAGTTGGAACTGTACATTAGGAGGGACTTTCTTTTGAATTTCAGAATCATATGTTATTTGAAGATATAGCCATATTTTTTTCTGAAGAGGAGTGGGCTCTGCTGAATCCTGACCAGAAATTGCTGTACAGGGAGATCACATTGGAAAATGCAAGGAATGTGACCTCCATAGGTAAGGGATCTCTTTGTACTTTTCTGGTCAGATGTAACCAGCTTACCTGTTTGTCAGGAAAAAAACAACCTCTCATATAAAAACGAGGAGACCATGAACCATAAAAAGTATATTTATTTAAAATATATATTTTCTTTTGCAAAAGGATTCTCAATCATGAAAGAAAGAAAATGTTGGATAAGTCCAAATGCATGGCTTAAATACATTTAGTGTAGCAGATCACCGCCCTCACATACCAATGTCTTCTGAAGTTACATAAGCTTTTTGGCTATTCCGCAACAAGTTCCTGAACCAGAAATCCCCTTTGATCTCCCTTGCCTCATTTCCTCATAACAAGACAATTAATCCTATCATGGCAGTTTCCTTCCTGCCATTTTCCAAAGTAATGTCAAACTAACCTGACCTGGTATGTTCTAATCAATTTTATAGCCTTGTTTTTCCCAGAACAAGCTCTTTACACAATTACTTATTTTAATGCTTTACACATACGAGCTGCTATAGTTATGAAAAGTGTAAATATGGAGTCACTCTGGTTCTTTTCTTTTACAAGAATCCTATTTCTCTTATTGTTTCTCAGAACATGCTGGTCTGTTCCTTTCCTACAGTGAAGGAGAATGTCCATAACTGCATTGATTCTTCCACTGGATCAGGCAGGCAGGGCAAAAAAAACCCTTCATGCTGTCTCTTCTCTGTAAAAAGGAGCAAACACCCTCCTTATTGAGTTTCGCTTTTGGGTGGTAGCCTTAAGGAAGTGCTTTTCATTTTTTGGGAATTTGGAAATCATAATAGGCCCAAATTTCATGGATCATGTGAAGTGTTAGTACTACTTTATAACGCCTTGATAAGACCACACTTAGAATACTACATCCAGTTTTGGTCACCACAATATAAAAAGATGTTGAGATTCCAGAACAGGGGTGTCAAACTGGTGGCCCATAGGCTGGATGTGTCACACGCAGGCCACGTCCACCCCAGCTCTGCAAAGGCAAGAAAAGGACATGATACATCATGTGACATCAACATGATGGGGTGAGTTTGACATCCGTGCTCTAGAAAGAGTGCAGAGAAGAACAACAAAGATGGTTAGGGAACTGGAGGCTAAAGCATGCTGGAATTAGACATGTCAAATTTAATGAAAAGAAGGACTAGGGATGACATGATAGCAATGTTGCAATATCTCAGGGTTGCCACAAAGAACAAGCTATTCTCCAAAGCACCTGAAGGCAGGACAAGAAGCAGTGGGTGGAAAACCAGTGGTGGGTTTCAAAAATTTTTTAGAACCTATTCTGTAGATGTGGCCTGTTTTGTGGGAGTGGCTCAGCAGTCATGTGCTCAGCTTGGCGTGGGTTGTTGGTTGTGTGACCGGGAGGGCATGGCCAACTTGGAAAATTTGATGAAACTTACTGTACTTAACAATGCTCTTGCTTAGCAAGAAAAATTGGGTTCAATTGTGGTCATAAGTTCTCTTTTTTTCTTTCATTCTTTCCTTTTTTTCCTTCTTTCTTTCTTTTTCTTTCCTTCCTTCCTTCCTTCCTTCCCCCCCTCTTTCTTTCGTCTCACTCCCACTTCCTTCCTTCCTTCCTTCCTTTCTCTTTCCTTCTTTCTCTTTCTTTCTCTTTCTATCTTTCTCTTTTCTCTCTCTCCCTCCCTCCATTCCTTCCTTCCTTCCTTTACTTTCTCTCTTTTTCTCTCTCCGCCCCCCCTCTCTCACACACATCCCTTCCAATTATATTCGTAGATATATTCTGTGAACTAAAACTGGTGCCCAATAAATCCTATGATCACGGCA